CTCCCCCCCACCCCTTACTTTCATTTTAGCTACTAAGCAGCTCCTTCAAATAAGGACTAGCAAATATACCGGACTGTTCCCATATTTAAGTCTTAAATACTGTAAGTATGGCATAGTCTTACTTAGGTGATTAGTCCTCTGCTTGGAGTTCTGTCTTGCATCATATGTATCTCTGTACCTTTCCGTTCCTACAACCTGGCTTTGCAGGAATTTCTCTTTATGGACAGCAGCACTCTTTCCTTGGGTCTAGCTAATTGTGATAAGGGCCTTTTAACCCCTTGCCACAGAGAACAGCTACTTAGTTGAGACAGTCATATAACAAGGACTGGACAAGGGGAATAAAAAGATAATTTTGTCCTCTTCAAAATGCCAGTGTCCTACTCTTTCCAAGGCTTCTAAGATGTATCAGAAGGTAAAGGCAGGATCAGACAAGAGCAATCCAGTGAAGGCAATGAGATGCTGTAATCTACAAATGTGCTAGATGAGTGTTCTCTATCTATAGGCTTAATTAGACCAGCTTTAAAACATGAAGTGAATCTTTCTAAATACAGAACTGAAGATATAATGATGCAAACACAAACCAAAAAGCAGCCTGAATGACTGAAGTTTCTTTACAAACTATAGTGTGGGAATCATTACTGAAGATGCTACAATTCAGACACATTTTTGATCTGAAGGGACAGAAAAGCTTAAAGATATGCTATCGAATTTGGAGGCTCCTTAAACAGAATATAAAACATAGAATTAGAAATTAATTCTACATGTTAAATAGAGCCTTGTATGGTCAAAAACATTAACAAACTTAGAACATTCTAACTCATTTGTTCTTATTATTCCTTTTGCAGAGTTGTTCCAACAGGTTGACTCCCAAGGATTAAAAATCTATCCAAAAGATTTTAAAAATTTGAACTTATCCCAAATTTTTTCTTCATCTTTATATTCTCAAAAGCATTTACACACTACCCCCATACTTACAGTAAAACATTTTGTTTAACTAAAGAATCTGCAACCTAAATTCTTTCAATATTATCATCTGCATTTACTGAGCTTTGCCTTCAGCATGACCTCAGGCCTGAGAGAAACATACCAACTTTCACACCATGTAAAGCCTGACTTACCAGAGACTTCCTGAACTCAGCTGACCACGTGGACCAGCAGCTTGTTTGCTTCAATACCTTATCAGCGTAAAACATGTTATCGCAAAGACTCTTTGAGTCTTCTACAAGTATGCTCCAATTCTGGACAGTAGATCAGGAAGGTGAAATTGAAGTTTGAGCTACACTGCTATGAAGACACACAAGTGGCTGTGCAAGTGCCATCTTGGAATTAGCAAAACTTATGTGATATCATAATAAACTAGGCTTGTGTAACTAAGATGGCCCCATGTATTGCATATTATCTGTAATATTAGAAGGCTGAAATACCTAATTTTTTCCATTATTTTGGGTAGCCTATGAAAATTAACTGATAAAAGAAATCCATCCAATAATCACTATGCCTCTGGTCTAGTAACTTTAAGAAAGTTGTGAGAAAAAGCTTTCCTCTCCCCACTATGAGCAGCGATTGACTCTACAACAGCCAAGTTAGAGGTAAGTTTGTGGTTTGCAATTTTGACATTGAAGAAAATGGTGTCCTGTGGGAAACAGACACAAGATCCACCAAAGCCACTCCCTGTGTAGTAAATAGAGTTAAAGTCCTTCACAAAATAAAGTTAAAGTCAAATACAGGACTTCCATAAAACTCATACAGCAGAATTTTCAAAGACAGGTTAAAGAAGAATCAAATGACAATCTGCCTACCTCCCTAAAGGACCATTCCTTGAGATACCATTTTACACATAGCAGATGTCTCCTAAGAAAGGTTAGAAGTATCCACGCGATAAATAATACTTACAGCATATGCACCTATTAAAAATGCTGCATTTGCTCGTTTGCGCTGATCAAAACTGGTATAGTATACTATCTTCTTTCTTGATAGACTGAAATACTGTTAAAAAAAAAGACAGCATATTTACCAAGAGAAGAATACACTTTAAAAATACTTTTAAAAATAACTTTTGCAAAACTGAAAAATAAGTCAGAAAAACTTCTTATAGAGATTATTAAAATTAAAGGCAAAAATATTACTGATATCACAATCAATCTTCTTATGTTATAGATAAGAGTGCAGGGAAACAGCCACGGTAGAGTAGGTCTCTCAGCATGCTTTGTGAAAATATCCTAGAAAATGCAGTTGAATCAAAATGTTCAATATAAAATACTGGGATTTTTCTTCTGAGCTTAAATATTTGAAAAATAGCTTATGAACATTGATTAAAGACACTGAAATTCTCAGACTAAAATGCCCTCCTATATGTTAAGTCTCTTTAGCATGTAATTCTGTGGAGAAGACAAGAGAAAAACTCAAGCAATCAATCTTGCAGGCATTTTATAAGTTAAACACCACTCTTCCATCTATACTACCTAAAAAGGGAGTGACAGACATCTGTAGAAAGTTTCAATAGCAAGATTTAAAAAAAAAACAAACCACAAGTAAAAGCCTGGAGGAAAAAAAAAAATAGGCTAGGCAGAGACAGAGCTAGGAACACTTGCAATTCTTTATTTAGGAAGAAAAGAAGTCTCTGTCAGAATCCTGTGGACAAGACTCCCATTGAAAACAAGATCAACAAGCAGTAGAAAAGAACAATTATGACAAACTGCAGCAAAACTATTTAAAGCCAGAGAGAGGTACAATTATCACTATCACTTAAAAATGGCAAGTTGGACAGTTTATCGCATTATTATATTTTTAGTGTCATTAATTGCTACACGTTCATTATATTCTGCAACACTATTACTCATGTTTTTCCTGGCAGATTTCTACAGTAAACCTACAGTTTTGAGGAAGTCATCATCAGACATACTGGATTCTGCTTCTAAATATTTGAAGCCCATTCCTATTTTAAAAAGTAGCACATTTTATAAACTGCCTTTATAAGAGTGCTGCTGTTACCCAACTTCAGGTTTTTAACTCCAATTTGACAAACTTATTTTCTTTTCCTACTCTCGGCACTGATAACACTTGGAGGTGGGAGATAAGGTAACTGCAGCAGAATTGTGGTTTGTTTATTTATTTAAGTAGTGCCAAGTGTATTTCTCTTCCACAAATCTGTAAATGTAGACTCTCAAATCTTGTTGCAAATTTTAGGACATCTTTAACCACTGAATCAAATTGTGCAAAAAAAACCTCAGGAGAAAACTGATGCATGTATCACAGTGAGCATCTTACTCCCACCTTCCACAGAACTGCTATTAAAGGTGCTGTTTCTCACTGTACATTCCAGTCTGGTCTTCTTACCCACAACTTCCACAGGTGGAAAGAGGGAAAGTTAATGCAGCTGCGTATATCTAAGTAGGACTATAATTTCTGACATAGCTGGTTGCTGTTGATTGGAAGAGGTTGTATCTTGAGACCAAGAGCAACATCTTTCTTGGCATATATGCAAACATAAAAAGCCCAAGTACCTATTTAATTAGTGAGGCATTCAATTATTATTGAAACTTGAGAAAATTAATTCCAATATTTTAAGATCCCTCCTTTCTTCCCCCTCCTCAATTTTTTAATTTTAGTGTTCTCTAACTGCAATTCCACCCATGATGTGTAGGTGGGATAAGATTACAGTAGTTATGCAACAGTGACAGAATTTCAATTATAACTTGTTGACTACTACTTATTGTAAAGTGAACTTCTTTGCAACAGTTTACAGTTCACCTGAAATACAATTTTAAACTGCAAAAAGCAGATTCATTCTCATAGCTAGCCAGAAGTAAGTTCTACATAGTAAGACTACAGTTCTTGTTTTATTTTACAGAATGGGGTTTTTTAATCATATGGATATATCAAGTCATTTCAATTTTAAGATGCTTTTGCATCTGAAGTAGACAAAAAGTGACAGCATACCGTAAAAGTTCCCAAAACATCAAACTGAAAGCAATATATATTGCTTCATTTTCAAAATGTAAGGGTTTAATCCTTATGAGCCATATTGCTATATAAAATATTTAAATGTCTTTTGAATCCTGACTAAAGTTTTAACACAAAATTGAAACCTGACATTAATTAACAGCTTATAGCATAGCAACCAGAGGAAAACTGCACCAGGATTTTACTTTTCAGCAGCTTATAAAAACAAACCACTGTTTTTACTTGCACACGTTACAGAAAATCAAGTTTTACAGTGTTTGCTGAAGTATCAATGCAGTGCCTCTGTTAACATGAACACACAAATTCTCAACTCAATACACTTTCAATATCAATACTAAACTATATGATCTATTTAGAGAAATATTGATTTTTCTGACCATGTTTAACAAGTTGAGTCTATTTCTTTGGCTAGGTTCAATGATGATAAGTATTAAAGACAGATCTTTAAGAGCTCCACCTGAATTGATTAAGGCTTTAGTTCCCATAGATGCTATGCAACTCAGAAGAACCAAAAATGTTTCAACAAAGAATTTTCAGTGCAGGTTGTCTACATAATAGCTATAGTCAGAGATAACATAGTACCATATTTGCAAATAATATTTTTTCAAAAACAAACCCAAGGCTGCACTAGGAAGGGCTAAAGATGTTTTCCTTTACCAGTAAAAAAATTTTTAGCAGTTTCACACATCGTTAGAATACAAAATGTAACAATATAACAGAACAGTATCTGTCAAGATATATCCCAGAGGAATATACTCAAAGACAATCTTTTGAACTAAATGCAGAGGTTACATGAAAAGTGTGGCAAGTTTTGTTTTAGGTGATAAAATTAATTCATTGGGTGTATGAAAGAGTTCCAGAACACATTATTTTCACTGTGAGATTACTATTATTTTTTTTAATAATAGGTCAGTTCGTGTTTCTTGAAGACTTCATGAGAGATTTAACTGCACAGAAATCGATGGTAGGCTTAGCAAGTGCCATTGTGGATGTATTAGATTGCACTATTATTGTACTAGATTGATACCTGTTTACAATCACCTGATTATTTGACAGTATTTTATCTAATGGACGTGTTTTAATATATTTGCATTGTTCAAATAAGAAATTACTGCAATGTGTTTAATAGGCCTGGATCAATGCAAATACTATTTTTATATATATATATATATACACACACACACACATATATGTAATATGTACATGTAAATAGCAGTGAATACAAGGCTGGCAAACCGTTCATAGGAAATGATGTATTAAAACACATAGACGCAAACTGCCTCAAAGTCTAAGCTGTCCTAAAGGAGATGCTTGCAATTACTATAGTTCCATGTGTATGCCCAGCAGTTTATTTATATTAAAAAAACCCCAAACTATTCTGTAATTCAGCAGCAATACAGTTAGAATACAAGAAATGTTAAATCCATATTCCATAAGCCTGCCAGAACTTTCCTTCTCCTGTCTTTGATCTTCCATACTTGTATCATTTATCTCAGCAACACTCCCTCTCTGATTACCCTGCTTCTGAATTAATTAAAATTGTGTGTCTATATACAAATAAAACACAGCAGGTTTTTTAAAGCAGTTTTTATGAAATCAGACTTATTTAAACAGAAGAAAAAAAATTCTTTCATAAATGAATCACAGTTGCTTAGTCAAGCATTTTTTTCCCAAACAAAATTCAAAGAACAAGTAGGAAGATAGCATGGCCAAGCATTTCTCTTGCTGTTGACTTGGCTAGTCAAGATCATCTCCATAGCAATCAGCAATCAAAACATTACAAACATGACAAGGTCAGAAAGGTTTTCCTGTAAAGCATAACCAGAACTTCAGCTCCAACTTTCTCAGCAAATGGATAGCTGAATAAATTCTTCAGCTCTTCAGAACAAAACGGTTCATTGAATCTAAAATCAGTCAGCATAAAGTTACAACAGTTTCCTTTAAAATGTTGGTCTCCCCTTAGCACATTTCAGATTGGTACCCTTCACCTTCCCCACCTGTCCCCCAAAACAGGAGAGGGGAAAACACAAAACTGTCTCTGTGTCTAATTCTTCTCCCGAAACAGAAAGAGATATAACTGAAAAGCTTGGAGAGAACATTTGTGGGATTTGTCTTAATAAGATTTTATACTCTCATTTCTCCTGTTCCTATTTATGTAAGTTTTAATTTAAGACTTAGTCGAAGTCTTAAATTGCTGTAGAGACACCATATTCAAACAAAAACTATCATATTTTGTAGATTTTTTTCCCCCCACATTTCTTTTTAAGTCTCTTTTCCTAAGAAGAATTCATGAAGTGCATACACAATCAGGTATATACCAAATCATGGCAGGAGTCAACTGGGCTTAAGTACTATGATTGCCTCAGCATCCCAGAAGTGTTGCAGTATAGTAACAGCAGCCATCCAGCAGCAGAGGCTGGTTTTCCAGAGAATGATAATCTGCAGTGCCTTTTAATTCCTATGATCAGCCAGCTCCTGCTGTTGGTCATAGGGCATGGTTACCCTTAATGCAAGGGTATGCAAGCAGCAGGTTGCTCAACAGGACTCTTTCTCCATGTTGTTAGTCCAACTAGGACTTCCCATCTCTGAAACACTGATCACAGGCTTCATGTGTGTCCCCTTGGTGCCATGAGAGAATTACCGTACTTTTGCCACTGTAGTTGCTCATTGCATCAAAGCCTTGCTGGCAGCTAACCCACAGGTCATGAACTTCTGTCTTACAGAAACTTGTTCAGGCCTCAGAAATTCTCTTGGGGACACTTCTGAAGGACAGATGTGAGAAGGTGAGGGGTAGAAGGGTAGAAACTGTGAATCCATAGCTCTCAACTTGTGAAGCTGAGCAGCAGTCTTTTGTAGCTGGACCTACAGTAGACATTAAATGCATGCTTCAGTGCAGGGATTTGGTCTTATAAGCCTACTTATCCACCGCAGATAGTATCTAAATTAGGACAGAGTCCGGTGTATATTTTAACTATTTGAGGAACAAAGCTTACATCAGCAGGTACTGACCTACCTCAGGGCTAGTGAAAAATCAGACAGACTGGAACCTATTAATGTACAAGTTTCTGTACCACTCAGGTGGTATTCCAAGCTTTTGCTGTTTGATTTCAGGTATTACTTTCAAGTGGTTGCACTATCAGGTTATCCTTCTCTATTATGCACTAGTAGTTTATATTAACCTATTTTGAATTAGCCTCTGGTAAGATAGCAGCAACAAAGAGCTCCTCCTCCCAGCTGTGAATGCAGCTGATCTGCATGAGATTTCTCTGTCCTGTTCCTGACCATCTGTACTCTTCATATCACACTACAAGTGTTATCTTTTTTCAAAAAATATCTAAGTTACATTAAAATGACATCACAGGATGCTAAATCAACCATGTAAATTTCAGAGTTACTAATCAATTTGAAATTGGCTCCCTTATAATATAATGGAAAGAATACACATGATCTTTGTATCGTGATTACAAGCCATTTGTGACAAGCAACTTGTCTCATTCAATGTAGATGATGGTCTTAGAACAAAAATGAAGACTGTAAAGACAGTCTTAAAAAGGTTAATACTGAATCATTTAAAAAACCAAAAGAAACAAACCCCAAACAAGTCCCGAGGTATTTATTAGTTGTGTTCTTATTTTCTGAGTGAAATTCTTGGTATCTAGGGTCCAGTTTGAAGGCATTCTAGTAGTGTAGAAGTATAAAGGTACACTTCAACAGTGATACATGAGACTCTTTTCAGGTCCCAAACTGATCACTCTCAGTCTGAATCTGGAAAAAACAGAACTAAGTCCCTTAGCTCTCATAAGCACAGTGAAAGTTAGAATAGTAGGTTTATTATTGGTTCTTCTCTGGAGTAACCGCTTCACAGAACAATCATTCTTCATGGTCTTTTAAATATAAATAAAAGGTCACAAACAGCAGAATTAGGGTTAAAATAAGATACCTAGCAAGTGAACATCATTGGTCATGAGTTTGAATGGGACAGTGGCACGGGAAAATAGGTTAAGTATTTATAATCTATTTAGCATTAACACAAAAATGGCAAACCCAGCATTTTCCCAAGATTAACAGGCATTCAAAAATATAAATACAATTAAACTAGTATTTCTAACTAACTTTCTGTATTAGGAAGCAATGTAGATTTTCACTAGAAACACTCTTCTGCAAAAAGGTTATAGAAACTCTTCAAAACCCCCAGTTTGCAAAATGTCCCCTTAGGACTACCTGACTTTAAGTCAGCACGTCCCTGGAAACAGCAAATAGCATGAATCAACTTGCATAATGGTTTCATTTAGGCAGCAAATATTAGTCTCAAAATATAATGTAATTTTTGATACAGGAATCCTCTTAACAGTGGCCAATGTTATCACATCTGTTGTCCCATTTTACCCTTCTGTCAGTAACATGTCTAACATTTTATATTATATTTTAAATCTGTAATATTTAGTGAAGCATCTCCTTGCTATTTGCACACAGGTGATATTAATTAGTACTTAGGAATTAAAACATCTGTTTCATTTCTTGCAGTTGATAATTTTTTTATAGATGCTGGAAGTCACTTTCACAGGCATTTGAGGGGCAGATCAAATCTACAGCTGTGTGCTCAGTGTACTGGGCCTGGCTGGGATGGAGTGTGGTTTTCTCCATAGCAGCCTGCATGATGCTGTGTTTCAGACTTGAGACTAGAACACTGCTGACCACAAACCACTGTTTTAGCTATTCTCAAACAGTGCTTGCACAGCATCAAGGCCGCCTGTTTCTCACTGCCCCCACAGCAAGCAGGCTGGGGTGGGCAAGATGCTGGGAGAGCACACAGTCAGGACAGCTGACCCAAATGGACCAGGGGGATATTCCATCCCATATAACATCACGCTCAGCAATAAAACTGAGGAGCAGTCTTTCTAAATTAGAAGTTGCTCAGAGACTGGCCAGGCATTGGTCTGCCAGTGGGGGGGTGGTGAGCAATTGCCTTTGCACCACTTGTTTTGATCCCACCCCTGCTTCTCACCACTTCTTATTCTCACACTTTAACTGTCTTTATCTCAACCCAGAAGTTCTTCTTGGTTTTGCTCTTCTGATTTTCTCCCCTGTCCCACAGTGGGGCTGTGGTGGGAGTGAATGAGCAGCTGCCAGGCATTTAGTTTCTGGTCAGCGTCAACCCAGATCAGGCTTATGGTTTTATGACAGGGCATTTATGTTAGGACAAAATTACGTCACAGTCATCTTCAGAATTAATTGTGGCATCTACAAATTCTAGACAACTTCATTAAGAAAGGACCAACACTTTGCAGTCAAAAGAAAAAGCTACTGTGGTATCCAAAGATGATATCAAAATTTTCTCTCTAGTGAAGAGCTACTCAAAAGTGCCTTGAATCAACAATCATTGTATGGAAGTAAGAAAGTAAGGACACTTCTACAAATGAATTGATAGGGAGTGACACATCCACAAGACAGACAAAAAAAGGAACCATTTTTATATGTGTAAAACCACATTTCCATAACACTTATTAGAAGCAACAATTTATTAAATTGAATGACATAGAAGTTTTTACTTTTCCACCGAGTGAGATTTAGATTAAATAGTGTGATTTCAGGGCTCATGTTTTGTTCTTGTTCATGGGTGTGGGGTTTTTTGTTTGGTTGGTTTTTTAATATGTTTTTTCAGTTCATACTAGCACACCCATTTCATTAGCTGCAAAACCATGAAATATCCAGAGTGGTTTGTTACTGTTGTCTTGAAACTGTAAGGTTATGAAAAAAGGTGAACACAGCTTTCAGTGCCTCACCTGCTAAGCAACAATGAGAACATACTTCTTTTTTCCATTCTTTGAAGGGAAAAGAATTCAGAACAAAGAATAACCTTAAAGCTTAGTAGTAACCACCTAGGTAACTGGCACCTAACAACCACTTTCAAACTGGATAACACATCAGTTGCATTTCAAAATACAAAAATATAGGAACATTGTTTTTAAACAAAGCTTACCTTTAATTTCTTATTTAGTTTACAGCAGTATCTGTATAACATTGCCAAATTTAAAGGCCCAAAATCTCCATAGAAACTGGGAGAAAAAGAACAAAAAAAATTACGTTATACAAAAGAGCTAAGCAAATTTCAACCTGCATGTTTGTTGATAGTTAAGCTGCAAATTGGTAACATTTGGGGGATACTGATTAGCCAATATATATGATACCACAGATGAGCCCTTTATTGATTCATCTGAGAGCACGATAGTAACAATTAATTTGAAAGCATTTGTAGCTTCAGTTTAAGACGCTCCAGTAACTACCTTTCCATATATACACACACTACAGAATTTTTTCTTCATCCCATGATATCCAGTCTGGTGTCGGTCAAAACTACAGAGTACAGAATTTCAAAGCATGATCTACTCCCCTTTAAGGTGTGCTGATGTCATCCTAGATAAAGGTTCTACAACTGCTTAAGATGAGAATGGATCATTAGATACTATGAAGAATAAGCTAAATAGACTTTCTTATGGGTAGTAAAATTTAATAAAATCCAGTCTTGATCTCTGTCTGAAATTTAAGCTTATCTCTTTTTATCCCATCCTCCACTATTTCAGAGATTACATGTATACTTTACATAGTTTCTTTGTCCCCCCAGTCCTGTTGTCTCTAGGCTGTTCTTCCAATTTATTATTTCATGAGTTCTGATTGTTCTTGCTTCTCTCTTCTAGATTCTTCTTAAACATTCATATTACCTTTGAAGCAACAGTCACTGTCCTTAGGATAAGAACTTGTAGCAGTAGTGTGCACAGGAAAATTACTGCACAGTAGAAGTAAGTTCCTGACAAGAATTCACAGCATTCTTCCTAGCTAACCCTTCATATAGGCATCTTTACAAGTAATAGCAGCCTTTATGCAAGTAACTCATAAGGACACCTTCTAGAGTTTTCTCCCTCCCCAATCATTGTGCAAAACTGCTCAAAATTTAAGTTGCAAGCTTTCTCCAATATTTTTCCTTTTTGTGTACAGAAATCTTCATCTTGATAGTCTATGGAAATTTCTTGATGCATATGTAATAAATTACAGTAGGAATGGACTGTAACTGTTTTAATCTGCCTTAAGTCTTTTGATAAAAGGGACAGGACACTTCTTGCCTACTAACTAACAAACAAAACAGGCCATCAGCATCTGAATGTGTTATTCAGGGAATGACAAAAGAAAAAGGTAATTATGTTCTAAGACTTCTGGGCTTTGAAGGAGTGAAGACTTAGAAAAAAAAAAAAAAAAATCACATGATAGAATAGGTGGTAGTACCTTTCAAGCTTTCTTCCCCATGGCAGAGGGTTTATTTTTCAGGAATGTTAATTACGTTCCAATTAAACATAAGAAAGCTTTTTACTTTGAGGGCAGTCAAACATTGCAAAGAGGTTGTCAGAGAGGCTGTGGAGTCACAACCCCATTGTACAAGACTGAACAACCTGCTCTTGCTGACCTTGTTTTGAGCCTGGGGGTTGGATTAGATGATCTCTGGAGGTGCCTTCCAGTTTCAGTCATTCTGCTATCCTAAGTGGACACAACCACCAAGCAGAAGTAACCCTATCCTTCTGGTGCTTATAACTTCATCCTCCTCCCAAAATTTTCTCAAACAAGAAAGCCAAGCCCAGTGCAAGAGAGACAATTATATTAGTCTGATTATTGTCTGGGACAAGTAGCCTGCCTGCCACACCAGTACTATTTCAATATCATCTACTCGGCAGTATCAAACAACAACATAAGTGCTTGTTAAGATTCAGTTCAACTACAGATGATCATCAGCTGGGTCAAAGACTAAGACGTCCAACTACTAGGAATTTATTTGTAGGTTGCACAGAATTTAACTCAAGGGAAAAATTGCAGTGGCAGTAAAGTAGGGTTGAGCTTTAGAATTCCTCATCATTTCTTAAATAAGTCTGCCAGATACGGTCAACAGTTATAGTTATCATACTTTTAACACAAAACCCTCCATACAGTTTTTAATAGAGATGAAATAAACAAAATTGTTCTATGAGTTATGACAAGAAGTTAAAACTGGAGCTCTAACAACACTAGAGTGAATGTAGCTTCTACAAAAGCTATATAGAAGGCTTACTAACATCTCTTCCCATTCTGCTGCCCTAACACCTTCTCTAAATCAAAACCCAAAACCTATCTTGTTCCATTAACTCTAGAATATTCTTTCACTTAAATATATGATAAAAGAGTAGAATTCAGGATTTTAAGATTAAAAGTATTTTTCACAAAATAAAGTATTGTGAAAGTGTGGAATATGATAATTACTGGAATACAGAATACTTTTTTAAACCACTGTGAGCAAAGCAGTTTTGATCAGCTCAAAGATATAACTGAATACACAGTTCATCTAAAGCATTGATGAACTACAGCCATGCTTTATGATAGTAAGTTTATTACTAGTTATTTGCTAGAAGTACATCAATATGAAGTCAGATATCCACTTCCACTTTTCCACATGATTAAACTCAAACAGAAGTGTAGGAAAAGCACATTAAAATGAATTTACAAATCAATTTATCCACAACAAATTACTTAATATTTTGGTGGGGATAAGGATAAAAATGCATTAATTGAGCCTATCCATGAAGTAATTCTATTTCTACGAAAATAAAGCTATTCATATCCTCTCAGCTGCCAAGCTAAAGATTTCAGTCTTTCTCTTAACATGGACAGGGGCGGGTGGGGAAAAAGTATCTGCATTTAAGATTCTGGTACAGCTGTTTGTGCTGCAGAAACAAGATGTTTCTCAGAATCCAGGACACTTTCCACCACTGCTGCACCAGCATTATTGCCCATATACCAAACACTGGCAATTCCCAAGTTACTTACATAACAACATGTAGGTAGGATAAACCAGCCATTGGCTACATTGACAAAACATTATGGTAGATATGTGAGGGAGAAAAGTTATTTGTTATATGTCTAATTTTAACTTTCTCCATTTAATACCCCTAAATTGGAATAAGCTTGGATGTCCTTTTTTTTTAATGGGGCTAGGTGAAACAAATGCTTTACAAATCTCAAAATCAAAGAGTTCTCTGAAAAATAACACAGGGCTCTGTATTGAGGTCAATGGTCTCTGATCTACAAAACCACCCTTCTTCAATTTATATGCTTAGAAATAAATACAGTTTCTGCCATGTTTAAACAGAAGGGTTTAATCTTATGCACCCTCATTATTTTTAGTATAACAGGCCAGTTTTCTACTTGAATTAGACACACTTGATCCTGACTCACCCAGAGGATTTTCTTCTCAAGAACATAATTTTAACACAAAGTTAAAGACAAGTGGAAGATGGGAAATGGGGGCTATAGGGACTGAAGAAAAGAATTACACACCAAGTCATCATCTGAATAAAGAATTTTATCTGGCAAAAGTTGAAAATAAAAAAGAACATAGAAGAAGCCAAATCTTATTATATGCTAATCCCTGATAACAACCTACCCAGTATTATTTTACTTCCATCTCTTTTACAGGTAATAGACTTTCTTTGCATCTAGATGTTTCAATAAGCATTTATACACAAGAAGCAATCAGGATGCCTCTGAAGCTTAAGCCAGTGAAGACAGACAGCCATTTAGAATGGAGGTGGGAACCAGATATGATGAACAGAAGGCAAGTATGGTATTAATCTACATTTAATTATATTTTGTTTTAATCAAGTACTTAGATGATAGATTATATTACCTTAAATTATTCTTCCCCCTCAACTCATGCAAACTTGCTTTCCTTATGCTTCTCAAACTGAGAGGTCACAAAACCCCAGAATATACTAGATTAATATTTAAATACTCTACTTCAAAAATACTATCACAATGCTACCTGGAAGCAATAGCATAAGTTTCTTGTATCTGTATTCTCTTTAAAATAGACTCCTAGAACCACTCCTTCCTAACAGTTCTTCTAGCATAACATCAAGGTATTTGCTGTATTGTATCACAGGAATGGTCATCCACCTAGGAAGAACAGTCCATAAAGAGTTCATTGGCCTACCCCATCATGCAAGCATTGTACATTCTTCCAGGGAATTTAATGGTGAAAGAAATGCAGTCCACAACTCTTTAGGCCAGCAACTCAAGTTGTTTCTGACTGCAGTTCCATGGGATGACATGTGAACGTGCCATGGGTAAACTCAAGCCTCAGGCACCTCTTCTGAATGCTAAAGTCACTTTTTACCAAGCATTTGAATACCACTGACCCTAGTACTGCAAAAGAACAATAAACTCTTCAAGTTCATATCTTGAACTACTGGATAAAGCCTGGTTATGAAAGGAATACTATAACCTGGCAGACTTTGAAATTATTTGATAACCTCCATATTAATACCACAGTCAATCTATTTATGACCAAGGTATCAAGTTACCTTTCAAAAATAAATTGCACCATACTTTATCCCAGAAGCCTGAATTTTTCCCCCCACAGATAAATACAACAGAGCAGTTTATTTTATGCTGCCATTCACTTACAATTTTGTGATACAGCAACAGAGGTATGGATGAAAGAACAGGAGATTTCTATCTGAAAAGCTATTTCAGGATGCTTTTCCTCATGACAGATCAGTCTAAGTTCAATGTTATTACCATACTGAACACGAGGGTATGCATACATTCTTATTGGACTGTAAACATTTTCAATACTTTAAATGTGATCCAAAGCCTAGTTACCATACTGGTGGGAAAAAATAGGACAGATCCACCGAGTCAGTTCCAACAATGCAATAATGATCAAAGGGGATGATGCTACTTGCATGGCAACTTACTCATTTATTGGTTTTGTAACTTGAAAACAGAGGCACAGTTTATCAATTGCAATAATTTTTTGAAGTATTTACTTCAGAATTGGAGTACCACTACTCCTTTAGGTAGGAAGCTTGCCTTCTTGGAAGCTAGCAGCCATATAAAGTAAAACAGTAGCATCCCAAGCTTGCAATTACTCAAACCAGAAGATTAACCACAAGAACTTCAGGAACTAGCAGAAATACAGCTTCCTAACTGCAAAGCTACACTAGTTTTCCAGCATTTTACAAAGATCCAGCTTACT